GTGGAGGGCTATGTGGTGGGAACAGCGTCGAGAGGGATGGGAAAGTCAGGATGGGGCGATGCGTGAAGGTATAAGGGCATACGCGACCCGGCAGGCGGGTATACAACGTGGTCTTTGCCTTCGCTCTACACGGCTATGGGATAAGCCACTCGTACCATTTGGTAGCCAAGAGGAGAGTAACGAGGGACCTGGTTCTGCTCTGGATCCCCTCCTGGAGTCCCTGGTGGAAGAGGACGAGTAGTGTCGTCTTTCACCTGTCTTCTAATTGTTTACATTAGTTTGTCTGCAGCCTCTACAATACGAAGATTTGACACATTTTTGAAACTGCAACACCCGTTTCTGCCCAATATCAGGCTGGAAATGCCTTTAGGGAGGTAAGAAAGACCAATCCTACATTTATTCTGTCCATATATGTGGGAGGAGGAGCAGCACAATGATGCTTTTAGAGTTGTTTACATGTGTTGTGCAGGAGCATCAATCCCCAAAGGTCATCTGAATTCAGGTCACCCAATCCATCCATTTCTGACATACAGAGCATGAGGAACCAATTCTATTAAATCTAAATATAATACAGGATATATTTGGAGTGATTTGCAAGGCTTCTTTGTGGAAGAAACACACACAGATGCGAAAATATTGTTCTGGAGCTCAAAACTGAGGTTTGTTTGCAGGTATTGACATATTGACTGAAAAACAAATACAGGTCATCAATGGAGTATCAGGGATACCCCGAAATTATACTGTGGAGGCACCCTGGACCAATCCATATCCCAAAGAGCATGGTTAGATCCATGCTCGACGCAATAGGTATAGGTGGATGGGTCCAGTACACAAGGCATAGTCTTACAGCCATGGGTGCCGCCTTTGCCCTCACTAGTTTGGTAAAGGCTGAAAAACAATTGGGAAAGAAGGAAGGTGTCAGGAGGCCATCGTCGACCACGTCTAATCCCAACTTACGTGAGCCCAATCACATTCTTTTCTGTCAGATTGCAGGAGCCCATGGCCACGAGCTTTCGTAGATATCAGAACCACGCAACAACTTAAGGAAAGATACGTACCTTCCTCTGCCTGAAAAATACACGCCGAAGGGCGCAAATGTGACGCTTCTGGGGTTGATAATGATCGAGAATGTGGGTTTACGAGGGCAGGTGCAGATGAAGAGCTGATTTACGGTCGTACAGTATGCTTGACGAGGAGTGGTAGGACTCGGAAGTGTATATGCGGCTACGTCCATGCCATGTTTTCGGGAAAGCAGAAAAAGGGACATGTTCATGTCTAGGACATCTTGTAGCACGGAGGGAAGGTTGCGAGGATTTAGTCTAAGTGAGTCAGAGGAGATAGATGAAGCGGCGGCGTTCGTCGCTCAGAGAAGAAATGGGAGCGGGAG